ATACTTCTTTACTTAGAAACATTAGTAGTAGTAGAAGTAGAAGTAGTAGAAGTAGAAGTAGTAGAAGTAGAAGTAGAAGTAGAAGTAGAAGTAGAAGTAGAAGTAGAAGTAGAAGTAGAAGTAGAAGTAGAAGTAGAAGTAGAAGTAGAGGTAGAAGTAGAAGTAGAAGTAGTAGTAGTAGTAGTATCAGTAGTAATATAGCAGTAGTATTAATAGAAGTAGTTGTAATAGTTAGTAGTAGTAGTAGTAGTAGTAGTAGTAGTAGTAGTAGTAGTAGTAGTAGTATCAGTAGTAGTAGTAATATATATATATATATATATATATATATATATATATATATATAGTAGTAGCAGTGGCAGGAGTAAAAATGGTGGTAGTGAATGTGTAGCACTAGAAGTGGCAGCAGCAGCAGCAGAATGTAGTTTATCCATTATTAGTATAAATTGTAATTATAAATTGCTTAATTTATAGACACATATACTCTTAATTATTTCTGATGTTATATACAGCAATTATGAAATAATGTACTCATGAGCTTACTTTAATTTATAATTAATATCAGACTTGACAGCTTATTTGATTGTGTGTACATTACTTCTACCAGTGTTATCTATCTGGTGGAATTTGTGTTTGTATTTGAAATCGAACCTCAAATTTTGGTTGCAATAAAGAAATAATAATAATAATAATGATTTTAATCCCTTTGTCTGTCCCAGTTGTTCGTGGAGTGGCTATATGAGAAATACTGTGAACCCCCACACCAGACAATTAGCTAATATGGCAGAGAAAGTTAAACAAATATATTGAGGCTTTGATTAATTGGACAGTGTTGCTTAACAACCCCATGCAATATTCATAGTCTAATTTCCTGCCTCCTCTCACCCACTCTAATCATATATCATGCTTCATTGATCAATGTTACAATCTAATCATATTAAAGATGAGATGCAGATTTAGTTGACCTTTTTTACTGTTATATCGAACATGTGGATTTGATTGTGCTAATACACATATTATTTTTATTTCTATTTTTGTTTAAATATATATATTTTTTTTTTTTTTTTTTTTTTTTTTTTTTGGTATGGGGGGGGGGGGGGTATTTTTTCTTCTTTTTTTTCTTCTAATTGTTATTAAAAAATAGTCATCAGTCTCTTTCAGTCTCTTACACTGACCCTATTGCCAGTGCTACTCATTCCATGTATCACAACTGCTACAGCAGATAACCCATTTACTACTGAATTATGTTATTCCTATAGGTTAAGAGCAAGAACTACTCAGTTAACCAAGGCAAAAAAGGGTAATACTGTAAATCTGGGTGAACAAGTAGGCTGTATGAGGAGTGAATAGGGGACTAATTTGGATAATCATTTGAGCATTATTTATTTACCCCAATTAATCATTCTGATCCTTTTCTGGACTATTTCTGCTGCTGCTTCTGCTGCTGCTGCAGCAGCATCATAATCATAATCATCATAATCATCAACATTATAATCACAACCATCATAGTAATCACCATCATAGTAATCACCATCACCATCATCATCACCATCACCATCACCATCATCATCACCATCACCATCATCATCATCATAATCATCATCATCACCATCATCATCATCATCACCATCATCATCATTACCATCATCATCATCATCATTGAATTATAATCAGTTCAAACTTACTTATCACATCATCACCATCATCATCATTATCATCATCATTATCATCATCATTGTCATAGTCATCATCATCATCATCATCATTATCATATCATATCATCATCATTATCATCATCATCATCATCATCATCTTCATCATCATCATCCCCATCATCATCATCATCATCATCATCATCATCACCATCATCATCATCTTTATCATCATAATCATCACCATTATCATCATCATAATCATCATCATAAATCCCATCATTGAATTATAATCAGTTAAAACTTACTTATCAAATCATCATCATTATCATAGTCATCATCATCATCATTTTGATCATCATTGTCATCTACATCATCATAATATAAGCAGACACGTAGCCACGGGGGGCATGTGCCCCCCCCCCCTAAAATTTCCAAGATCGGTTGAACTTTTTTAGACCCCTTTTTTGACCTCGATCGATTACATGTACGTGCCCCCCAAACATCGAACTCTGGCTACGTGCCTGCATATAAGTTCAAATAATTTTAAACTTAATTATCACATCATCACTACCACCATTGTCATCATTACAATGATCATAGCCATTTCTATCCTCGTCCTGGCCCTCCCCTTCATACTCCGAATCCCCCTCTTTCATCACAAGTAGTACAGACAGGTGATCGGAAGTCATACTTCATCTCTCTCACTCATCACCCACCCAATCCAATTAAACCTAATCCTCTCAAATTGATTGCCATATCAACAATGAATGTTCATCAATACATTTTAGGAAAGGGTTTTCAATATTTCATGTAGCTTGGGGGTTATTGTGGCTAGACTTACGAGAGGCATTATCATTATATCATAGATTATGGGAAGATTATGGGATATACATGTACAATGGGAGAACAAAGGAATCTAAATCACATGCATGAAACATACTGTGTAATGTAAATATATGCGTCAACCATATTCTTCTACAAAAATGTACAACTTTCATTCAAACTTTATATGATGTAGAATATGAAGGATTACCTTTAATCATCATCTCTCTAAAATCCACTGCTAAAAATCATAGAAAATTGGGGGTGCATTTCCATATACATGTACATCATGTACATGTATATGATCAGTCTAATAATTGAAAAACATGAAAACTTTACACCTGTGAGTCATCATGCATGATAATTACAACTTACATGTATATGTAAATGATGAATGCATTGAGAGGATGTACTTGGAACAGTTCTGTATTCAATGCATCACAGCTCACTCACACCAGACTAATGTGTGCATACATGTAAAATGCGGAGGAGGGGGGGGGGGTGGTAGGACATCACCATCAGGTTTGGGACTGATTTGGGCATAGCGTTATTAGCCTTATAGAGTTTGAAGAGCATTCAATTTGGCTTGGGAAAAGATTTCATTTTGAGAAGTTCTCTTCTCTGGGGGTGGATTTTTGCTCATTATGTAATACCCATCAGGTATAGATCCAAAAGTAAGCCTTTTGAATTATTACATGAAATTTGTGGGAAAATGGACAGATTATTTCTTTTCTGGCATAAATGTAGAAACTGCAGGACTCTTAGAAACATGTCAAGAATACAAATACTTCATATATTAAGTTTCCAGTAACAAAAGATAACATTTTGAACATCAAATGATACTTTCATAGGGTTTGTGTTTGAATCAAAGGATGACGTAAGGGATTTGTCTAGGAAATTATGTATGAAATTAACCATGAAGCGATCGTCGCTGAAACATGCGTCTTAAAAAAAACAAAATCAAAACAAAGCAACCTTAGATTGTATTTTCACGACGCTCATTTAATAGTTTAGTACAATAAATAAATAAAACAGGAATTTCTCTTTTAGATTGTTGACAATGATTAGGTTTTCATAGCAGATAAGAAAAAATAACAAAGAAATAACAGTAATATGTAGCATATCGAATTCAATTCATCATGATTCTTTTATCTGGAATATTACTTACCAGAGCTGGGGGAGGGGGGGGGGTATAAAACTATTTTAAAAGTATATGAACATTTCATATAGGGCGCTCTTGCACAAAAGGTCTGGTTCTTGCTTGTCTTGATGCTCCTTCTCCTTCTTCCTCTTCTTCCTCTTCTTCTTCCTCTTCTTCTTCCTCTTCTTCTCTTCAAAGTGATAAGCAGCCTCTCATGAGCTTAACTTTCCTCCAACAAACAAAAGAGACAGGCACACGTAACTCCTTTTCATTTTGGTTAAACTGTGAGTGAGTTTACATTGTATAATGACACTCTCAAGTATACATGTGACTACCTGTACTTATGTCCTTGATGTTGTTTGTGAAATGAAAGTCGTCTACAGTTCTGATGCCTAAAAATCAATACATTGTAAGAAATTACTTTGATCTGCCTGATTATATTTATCAAAATATAATAAAATATAAGGTACAATGATTTTTTAAAAGATTTGTTTAAAAGATGTATCTTAACTGCCAGACAAACTACTCTGCATGCTGAACAGAGGACATACAGGCCCCACTCTATCAAAGCGGCGTTTGAGTTTGAAAACAATGTTCATGTTACATTTTAACAAGCACTACAAGTGGTATCTTCACTGAGATGGTTTACATCACAAATTGCTAAAAAAACTAGATGGAACTTCGAAATGATGCCTCCGCCATATAGCGATTTTACAAACCTAAACGGACATACAACCCATAAATAAATGCCTCTAGCTACTTTGTAGTGGAGACATATAAAATGTAGGAAAAAGATCCACAATCGACTACTAGTACATGTACCAACCATCCATATATTGGAGTTGCATTGAGTTGCAAATACATGGCTTGGGTATAATGAAAATATTTTCATTGGAATCTTTTTTATACCACTCATCGTATGTATATCAAATCAAAATGGGTAAAACTTAAAAATATCATCAAAATAATAAACCTTTGAACAACAATGAAACACAGTTAAAAGTCTTCATAAGATTACATTACGGATTGGAAAGAGAATTCTGCCTAATGTTGCACAGTGTTCACCTTGGTGAATTTCTCCCATGGCACATCACATAGCAAACAATTTACTCATCATTGATTACTTCACATAATCATGTTGCCTTCTCTACAGAAATACTTTATAACACTGATCTTCCTTTTCCTCTCTCTTATCACATACAATTTGAGGCTTGATTTTCCTTTTTTAATAACATATATATTTTTTGCGTACGACCATGAATTAAAATCATGATTATGACGACATACCATGTTAAATAAACTTTTAAGTTATGTTCAACTACACACATTTCCCTGTATCTTACTAGGATCAGAGATATCTCATCATGATGCTTTGTACTAAGTTTTTTTAAGTTCCTGAACGTGGACACATACTTAACATATATTGGCTCAATGTGGCAAATAAAATGTACATGTGTGTTCATGAACTGAATTTCAAATCCTAAATTAACTCCACATTTGCTTGGCAAGAACATGTTTACCTTTAATCTTGGACACAACACAGCTCACCTCTAACCTCTAACCTCTGACCCTTGGATGACCTCTAATATATGGGGGTGAGCCATGCACCCCATAGCTTCTGGCAGAACAGGCAAGGTCGAGCAGATCCAAGCATTCATTGTTGCCAAGGTCAGTCATACAGGAAGGCTGGTTGAAAGCCAGTCTAGTGTGTTATGAAGTGAGTTATCATCAAGTTCTTTTGAGCCTTCAAAGGCATTGGGAGCCTGGTGGATGTTGCAACTTGAGAGAATACGTTTGATGGCTGCATGCATGCACAGGGGTTCGATGGCTTATCTTCAAGCATATTGCCCCAAGGCGGACAGATGGATGGGTATCTCCCTCTGCATTGCAGGTACATTTAAGTCATAAAATGGTCTCAGGTTTTATGAGCTTGTACAGACCCTTGAAAAGCTACTTCTGGTTGGGGGGTTGATGTCTGATAGGAATTTATCTAAGCTCTTCCAAAGGTAACTGATCCTTCAAGTGGTAAAGATACCCTTGATGACGAGGTCAGGTTTTAGGAGCTTGTAGGATCAACAGGTACAGTCTTTTCAGAACCATGACCACTTACGACGGAGGTTGTTGTCAGTGCTTAAAGGACTTTCAGCTCTTCCAGTGGCCGATGGTCCTTTGTCTTTAGAAGTTAAAAGTACCCTTGACAGTCAAGTCAGGTTTCAGGAGCTTGTAGGGCCACCAGGGACGGACCTTTGAGAAGCTTGTGGTCTAGGACGAGGCTTGCTGTCTTTTTTCAGGGAGCTCAACTTCATCTAAGCTCTTCCAAAGGCAACTTGAAATTTACTTTCAAACATTTAAAGTACCTTTGATAGTCAAGTCAGGTTTCAGGAGCTTGTAGGGTGACCAGGTAGAGTCCTTTGAGAAGCTTAGCCCCTGGTGTGGGTTGATTGTCTGCAGGGGGCATGACTGGACCAGCTTCACTCCCATACACAAATCTGGTTCACAAGTGCGGTCAAGGAAGATTGATACATTAGGTTATATACATGGAAGTACACTAATATTTTTTCTCTTTCTCTTTCATATTATCAGAATAGAGTGTTCTGAAAATTATTGCAAAATACTTTTCAACGAACATATCAATTATTTTCTAATCAAATACTGTAGATGTAAATTACATTGTCTGTTCAGAGCCAGAAGGATGTTAAACTCTCTTTAAAAGTAATTGAATATATGCCTTGCTCCCTCCAAACAGGGGAAATAGTTTTAGATTTTGTTTCAGTGGTAAAGATAATAATACAAATAATAATAATAATACATTTATAGAGCGCAGAAACTATCGAACATTAAGTATATATTCTACTGCGCTAAAAGATTTCATATGGAAACTAAAATATAGCTTGGTCAAATACCAGGTAAATTATTCTCGCAAATGTTCTGTGTTTAACTGAGTATTTTACAAGAATTTATCTCAAAATTACACTCAATCAAAGTCATTCCAGCAATTTGTAGAGCATCAATATTTAGTGGCCTTATCAATGGTGGTGATGAAACTGAAAACAAAACTGACTATTCTATCCATGATTCATCTATGAGAAAGACTGGGAAAAGTGCCTAGCTGAAAGCAATGTGGAATACAGAAGTTTGAGACTGATGATTGAGAAAGGATACGGGTATCTGAGGACCCACATGCTGCTAGGGGTGAGAGTAATACCCTCATCCCCTGGTAGAGGGGTGAAGACAGGTGTAGGGTGTGGTCCTGGCCTGACCTTGGGGTTCAGTTTGATGTGGACCGGTTTGGGTGGAGTCACTATGAATGACCTGATCAGCTGACCTAGTGGAGGCTTGTTGGCTCTAAGAATAGAAAAGTATAAAAATTTGAAATACAATTCTGTAAAGAGACAATTTATTAGAAATCTCATTAACTTTTCTTCCGCTAGCTTGCTTGCTTTAATAATTGTACATAAAATTCAAAAGATTGAAATACAATTATGTGAATAGACATTTCATTAGAAAAGTCATCAACTTATATTTTGCTTGCCTGCTTTGATAATTTTACATAAATTCATTGCTGGGAATAGACAATGCACTATCAAACTCATTCTTTTTTCCTTTACATGCTTGCTTTGAAAATTGCGATTCCTAAGAATTAAAAATGCTCTCTTGACAATTTATTCAAATACAAGTTGGTGATTTTCAGGTCAAAATGAATGCCATATCGTCGGTGGGGTGACAAAACCTTGTATCTCAATTTTTTGAGATTTTGATTTTTTTGCATAATTGTGTACCTAATGGCCTACAAAACCACCTGATAAATCCATGGAACGTCTCCTGTCTCGGTTTTTTCACAAATTCCACACAAAGGACGGTGTCACAGCACTAAATCCGTTGAGACAGGAAATGTTTTTTCGCTCTCCTGAAAATTCATGATTTTTGAGATACAAGGTTTTGTCACCCCACCGACGATATGCTGCTGAATATATCATGCCATTATGTATCTCATTATTGTTTGTTGTGTAGTGATCCACCTTCACATAAGAATAGATAAAAAGTTTTTTTTTTTTAAATTCCATCGTCGCAGTCTTACAACTGAATTGCCATTGGAATACAATTGAAACGTACATGTAATTACAAGTTAAAAGTACAATAGTCTTAGAACTATGACTGAATATATTCACTGTATATTAGTATCAGGTGCTAATTGGGAAGAGAGCCTGGAGGGTCACAGTGATTCAGTTACCTTTTCCCTCCCAGGCACTGGTGACACTTAATACTAAATAACAATGAACATTTTTGAAGAATGGTTTCATACATGATTTACAATGAGTGGTTTATTGCTTAGTCTTCAAGGGATCAACAGGAAATATGCAATTCATTCTCTTTGTACGTCCTTAAAATCTCATACTATACCACTCCGTTTTTGCCTCCTATAATACCTTTTAAATTCAGATCTACTATATTGTATTACTTAGTACGGAGCCTATTCACTTTACAAGCTATGCTTTTTATTAAGGCTCCCTACATTTTACATTGTTTTACCTTGCCTGTCATATCTATATATTTCTAAACCTTCGTACCTATTTTCTGTACATTATACTTGATTTGAACTCTTTAATTTTTTGCTTGTAATCTACACTTATACGCTTGTATGAAAAATTAAACAAAAATATTTACATTGTTTTTTTATGTAAATGTGAAACAAATACACTTCAAACAAACCTGCATGGGCAGGAGTAATAGAGTGGCATGTCCAAGGTGACAAGTTTATTAGCGCTCTCCTTAGGACCTCCTGACCCTGATGCGACCTTAACAACCTTGTCTGGTCCTGAGCAGATGAACCTGTGACCTCTTGGGCACTCGTACTCATTACCGATGTATGCCCTCAGCCCGTCTGATGAACCATCTGAAAGAATACACAAAGATGAAATAAGATGATGTCGAGGGTTCAGTGACACACAGACGTAACTCCATATTTTGCCAAAGTTAGAATTTGATATCAAAATGTTCAGAAAATGTGGGCTTTCCAGGAAACACAAAGACTTAACTCCACCCAACACCCCATTGAAGTCAATGGCTAGTGAAACATAGACTTTACTCCTTAAGGCCCAAGTGTTCAGTGACACATAAACCACTTTTTTTCTCAAAATGGCCAAAATGGAGTTACGTCTTTGTGTCACTGACCCTTCGATGTAATGCTTACTCTTCCTATCTCATAAGTGTTTCTACTTGGGCTGTATCCATAGGGTCATTCATTCACACTGTCATAAGTTTAACTTCTTGGACATCTCATTGAAACATGTAGAATTAAAACGCGTTTCTATGGGATGTGTAAAAACTTATGACGGTTTCAAGAAACTGGCCCCGTTAGGGTACAGATCCATGACTGAATGATATCATTTGAGATATCTTAAAGGTACTATGTCCCATTTGCAGGCCCAAAAAATGAAAAAGTTAAATTCCAACTGCATTTGAAAGATAATACTAATTTAGAACTTCCTTAAAAAAGGTGGGGCTTGAAAATGTCTTCAAGTGGGAAAATAACGACTATTAGTTGCCAAATCGACTTTAGGGCTATAGAGCCCAAAAGTAATAGTCTTGATTTTCAGACAATTGTACCGAATGGTCACACGTTTTATGCTGCGCAAAGATTCAATCAGTCTAATCTTGGCCATCACAAGAAGTGGGTTATTGATGTAGACAAATGCTCATGTACCCTTTACAACTCTTTTCATGTATGTTATTACCAAAGAAGAAAAAAGCCAGTCAGTCACTCAATAGTGTCTGACAGTGAAGTCTAGCAAGTAAACGGGTTTCCTTGCATACATGTAATTTGAATATGAGGACACTGCTAACGTTTAAATTTCACAGATAGGACATACATGACATATTCATAATTCCTGCAAAATTCTACAGAATTTGAGGTTGGCTGCAAAAGGTACAAAGTACCTTTAACCATCTATATTTGCATGTACATCACAGGATGAGGTAACACCCATTCTTGCAAAATGAACAAAATCTTCTATTCACCAAGGAAAGCTTAAAAATTTTACAAGGGCTTTTTTTTTAAAAGCCCTTTTTCTCATTTTTGACTGGTTAATTTGGTCTGTTTGATACTGCTTGAAGTGAATTTTGTCTAACTTTTTACATGTCTTATATATGCATGAATTTGTATGATTGTATGTATTTTTTAAAATGTATAATATTGTAATGAGCTATTGTTTTTTATATGAAGATGGAAATAAATGAGCAACGGCCACACCGGCTGTCATTAGCATTATTCATGATTCATTTGTATACAACTATTCTTTTTTCTTTGTTTTTTGTTTTTTGTTTACTCTGGTGATCCCCTCCTTACAAGCCCTTGAGGCTTTTTACGGGACACCCTTTTCTTTCATTTATTTGTATTACTAGCTCTTATGTATGTATTACTCTGTTATTTTGATGTAAACGTGAAGTTATGCATGACATACTGTTAACTTGTTTGTTTTTTAATTGTACATATTGGAAGAAATAAATGAGAGCTATATGCTCTCTCAATCACATGAATGAAAATACACCTATGAAATCATTGAGCCTTTGGAAGCACATAAGAGCATTACATCGCATTCTGATACGGGCAATACCGTAAGTACAGGAACAGAGCATACTTATTAATAATTGTTTTGACTGTGATCCTCACCTTTCTTGTCTCTTCCCCTGCCTCCTTTCTTAGATGATGTTGTTACCATCTCACTTGGTGAAGGCCAGACTGCATCCATGACAGAGCCTTTCGGGATGGGTATGTCCCAGGCTAAGAGATGCTTGCTGTCTCGCATGAAGTTTGGATGGTCCAAACCTGAAACAGAAGAACAACATCAGTGATGATAAATTCAAGATCTGGGGGGTGTTTCACAAAGACTAAGATCGACTTTAAGTCGGACTTAACTATGGCAGGCTGTTCATGCCACTGTTTTTTCTCACCATTTACTGGTATTGGTTTCTCATGGGACGTACAGATCATGGTCACAAATCTACAGAATTTACATTTGTTGATAATTCATTATTGAAGGAAAAAGACTATATAAAGATCATAATGGTAAGAGCTGCCTGCCATAGTTAAGTCTTACTTAAAGTCGATCTCAGTCTTTGTGAAACACCCCCCCCCCCCCTTAAAGAATATATCTACAAATCACAACCAAAATAACACTTTTAGATTGTTTGGGGCTTCCACAGTTTAAAGAAGAAAGTATACTTTATCAGAAAGTACCAAAGACTTAAATTTGACCATCTTTACCAATTACAATTAGTGAGCTCAAACTGAAGATCATGCCACGCAACTTTGTTGGTGCCGGGTCATAATTCACTGTAAACTGATTTCAACGATAGAAGTAGTAGTAGTAGTAGTAGTAGTAGTAGTAGTAGTAGTAGTCGTAGTAGTAGTAGTAGTAGTAGTAGTAGTAGTAGTAGTAGTAGTAGTTGTAGAAGAAGTAGTAGTAGTAGTAGTAGTAGTAGTAGTAGTAGTAGTTGTAGTCGTAGTAGTAGTAGTAGTAGTAGTAGTAGTAGTAGTAGTAGCAGCAGCAGCAGCAGCAGTATCATCATTATTAGAACTTTCATTATCATTGCTGATGTTAACTATTTTTCATTTCTAAACTTATTATAATGACTTACCTTTGGTTGGGTTATAGAGTGAAGATGGACCAAGACAAACCAGAGACCAAGAAGAGAACGATGGTAGCATGCCTCTGGGTGTGATGCTACATAACATGCCTTCTAAGGGTCGGTTGTAATGAGGTTCAGAAACACCTGCATCATCTTCAAAGGAAGAAAACAATGTTTGATCAAATCACTATGGAGATCCATGTAATTGGTACACAGTACTTTCAGTAGTAGTAATGATAATAGTTAGATTTATAAAGTACTTTGTATTGAGGATACAAAGTACTAAATACTATTCATACCCCAGCTTTAACAATGTACATGTGCCATAAGAAAATAAATATCTGTATTTGATATGCACTCACTCACCCAAGGAAATACTCAGAAGTCAAAATACTTTCCACATAATTACACATTTAGGAACAGAATGTACCATTTACCAAGATATATGTCACTAGAAAAGAGTTATTACTTTTAAATCCACATTGCACTAGGCGTTGTGGCGTGCGCCTGTAATCCAGCTAAAAAGTGGATGTTACAAACTGATTCAGCCGAGGACGCAGGTTCGAAACCGAGTCACGTCTTTCGGGTGGTGATGTGTAAAGGTCGGTCCCCAGAAGTAAATAATAATATCTGATTGATACACGTCTGAAAAAACCCAATACACACATGCACTACTTATTACTACTTGAGCCCTCTATATAGCAAACAATGCCTAATCGGTGCCTGTTGGTCCCCCATGATCACCTTTTTCTTATGTTAAATGAGAGTTGATTTGATGAGATAACCACCTGTCAGTGACCTTGCAGGGTGGTCTAATCAGCCCCTGGCCAGACTAGAACAGACAGGCTTTACTAGTTACCTTCATCAGTGTCCTCCTCCTTCTCCTTGTCCTCTTCCAGATCAGGTTGTTCATCCTGGGTTGATAGAGTAGCAGCTGTTCCTATGACTGGCTGATCAGTAGACCCTTCATTAGGGACTGATTGACCTAGACTAAGCTCAGGGGTCATCACACCTGACTGACTTTCTTTAGTATCTACATCGAGAGTGAGATGAAACATACCACAGGATTAAAAAATAATCAATATTACTGTTTCTTACATATTGCCTTACCAGTTACAATGTACTGACCAAAGTGCTTATGGTGTTGTCATTCTGGGTACTTTATTAAATAATGTTTTGAGCACATGTTCAATTGTTCTCTGAAGAGCATTCCAGTCAAATGCTTACACTATGAACATGTCAACAAAGAAAGCGGACAAAATATACAGTTCCTCAGGTAGACAAAAGAACATCCCTTCACTGCTATTATGTAAAAAGTGAATTTGCATGTGACACCTGTTCTACACATTTTTACATAATAGCAGTGAAGGGATGTTCTTTTGTCTACCTGAGGAACTGTTTATTTTGTCCGCTTTCTTTGTTGACATGTTCATAGTGTTATTAACTATAAATCCAAACATAAATAATATACAGATATTGACTGGCAGGGGGTGTAATATAACATTCTTTGGAGCGCTGAAGGGAGTTTTATTTTCCCAAATGGTTATATTTTCCTTAAGCATGTAGCGCTGAGGGAAAGTATGGTCACGAGGGAAATATAACTCCCTTCAGGAAGAATGTTATATACCCCCTGCCAGTCAATATCTGTTATATTAGATAGCCTAGGTTTGAAAATGTACTGGGGGGGGGGGGGTGGTCCATTTTTTGGGCTGAAATTTTTTTTTGACATAACAAAAATTTGAAAAAAAGCAGCGAGAAGAAAAAGAGTGATGAAAAGAGAAATTCTGAGAAAAAAAGACCTTTTGAAGGAAGAAAACAATTTTGGAGAAAAACGAAATTCCAAGGGAAAACAAAAAAATTGAGAAAAAAATGCATACAGTCCTGAAGAGGGTGACATGCATCGATTAAGAATATATTAATTTCACCAGCTGGTCAATATAACCATCGAAGGTGACCGGCGAGGAAAATATAACAATTACGATCAACGCAATCGATATTACGTGACGAGCTCTGGACCAATCTCATATTACATGTAATCCTACTGGTACCCATTTAACACCTGGGTGGAGAGGAGCCATGTAGAGTGAAATGCCTTGCTCAAGGACATAGATGCCATGTCAGGGTTCACACCAACGCCCTATGCATTCCCAGTCAAGTGATTAAACCACTAGACTATCACACCAGGCTTATGGTTGCTATTCATAACAAGTTCATCACTCTTCAGCAGTTCTTCTGCAGGTGGATAATAGTGTGAATGGTGTGAAAACAGTGACGTCACTCAATAATTACAGCTGATCACAGCCCTGTGCCATAAAACTTATTAATAACATGATTGATAGCATCGTTAATGAAACAGAGCCCCTTGTCTTTCTTTCTTTCTACTGGAAGGCTCACAAGACCTGCTATATTAACATCAATATTCATACAGTGTGTATCAGCATTCATGATCCCTGTCATATGCAATGCACATGTTGGAATTTCCATACTGTATTTCATCCTGTAGCAATTTCTTCAAAATCCAGTTTCAGACAGGTTGTAACAGGTGCAGTGGACACAAAGGGTAACAATATTGCACCCCTCAATAAAACCAAGTCTGATATTGATTGGTATGTTCCTAATCAGATTTATCGCTTCTCACTTAGAATCCATAGATTAATAAATTATTAGTCATTATTAAATGATTATCACCTTCTGTGCCGTGGACAGACAATCCCTTCTAAAGTCATATATGTTATGTTGTATAATGTTTTAGGACAAAGAAAAGCTAGTTTTTTTTCTTCATATTTAAACATCATGCCCATAAAAGATATAGTATACCAAATTAAGTAATAGAAAATATATTTAGAGCCTATACAATATCTTTTGAATTAATTTCTCACAACATTTAATTTAATTTGTGTCATAGCAGTGTTTGAGTGAGTAATAAACAAATACACACACCCCTCTTACCTGTGCTTAACTTGATCTTTTCAACTGCTTTTGTACGTCCCTCATCCTCTTGATCTGACACCCCCTCGTTTACAGGAATGGAATCACCCTCAGAGGTCAGCTGTGAAGGTCGTCTTGCGGGAGCAGGACTGTAGACTGTGAACTCATAGTGATGCAGCTTACTGCAACATTTCTCTTCCATCTCTTTGAAGAAGTCATAGTTGGCAACCTGTACATTCAAAAAAGAGTTTTCACAGAAAATTATAAGATTACCACTTGTTGCATCTACACATATGTGTATTAATCTGCATGCTATTGATGAATTTGAAAGTTTCAGAAGAACATGGGGGCATTCCATTATTTTTTTATGTTAAATATCATGTGATTTTTTTTATTTTGTTATTTGAAGTTGATCAAAGTTACAGTTTCAACATTTGATAATATGTTTAATGTCCAGATTTCTTTCAAAGTACTAAGGGTGACTATAATGTGATATAGGTTATACAAGAACAGAATATCATTATTAATATCATTAGTCACTCACATTCAAGTAATACTTCATATGATAGAACTCAGAGGTAAGTATCTTGACTTGATATTTTGCTTTTTTTCTGGACTTTAAATTCATATTGAAGACCCCTTTTTATAAAAACAAATAATTCATTGTTTGTAAGTTCTTGCAAAAATGATATTCACTGCACTCAGCAAAGTCGCAATGAGCTTGATAATGAGCCGTGACAAGTCTCATTCATTACCCTACTGTGACCTGTGTGCAGTGCATTTATACAATAATGCACTCGCAAACGAGTTATTCGTATAAAAATTAACCTTTTTATTGGAAGGTGCTAACATATGTTAACCCATTGCCTGCTTGACCTGATGGTGCCTGTATGAAGTTTATAGGAATTGGAAAATTCAGTATTCAATGGATTTATAAACCAATGTAGACCTTACCTTGACATCGAAGGGGTCTTCCCTGGTGCCTACTGACCTGCCACAGTTACAAGCACATGGTGTCTGATTGTTATTAGTATGGGGTAGATGACTCAGGACTATCTCCCTCGGTGGGTCCAACTCTGGATCACTGGGCAGGAGATGAAGCTGTGTGAGAGAATAGGATGTGAGACATTGGATGACCAATACATAGGGTTAGAGTTAGGTCTACAAGCACATGGTTTCTGATTAATATTAGTATGGGGTAGATGACTCAGAACTATCTCTCTCGGTGGGTCTAGCTATGGATCACTGGGGAGGAGATGGAGCTGTGAGAAAGAATCAATGAAAAGGATGGACTTTAGAATACTCCACCTGAATGGACTGCGTAAATATTCATAAATGAATGATACATGCCATAAAAACTACAACAACAACATTGGATGACGGTTAGGGGCAAGTTTAGGGTAAGATTTAGGGTTAGATTTAGGGTTAGATTTAGGTCTACAAGCACATGGTGTCTGATTATTATTAGTATGGGGTTGGTGACTTGACCATCTCTCAGTGGGTCCAACTCAGGATTACTGGGAGAAGATGAAGATTTTTGACAGCACAAATGAAACTGATGTATAGTATTTACTTGTATTTGTATAGGATTTTGAGCTAACAAGAAAGTTGCCATGGTTTACAAAACAGTATCTGGATGACCACTGCTACACAATCTCCTTTTGATATCTCCTGATTTGCAAAATTCATGCAGATAACTGTGCAATTATTTTTTGATATCTCATGGTCCCCTCCTCACCCCTCTTCCTGGGAGCCATTAGATCAAGCCAGCAGTCTTATCAAAGAAAGATTGAGTATACCGTGTCTATAGGGAAACCTGTCTGATGGCCACTTTGTCTGTTCCTCTAATTGCATGGCCTTAAATGGGTTCAATAACATTACTTTTGCAACATACACATTTATTCAATTTACTCTTAGATTGCCTCAAACTGTCAACATATTTCAATCCATTGTTTCATTAGTTCATCAGTGTTCATTTTTTTGTAATACAAATTTATGCCCTTGCCAATTATTTGACTTTTAGTTTTATATATGTTTATATCTCTCTATATTTTTAAATTGTTTGTAAATTGAACATTTTCAGCCTGCGAGCTGCTTGTTTGATGTGATTTCTCAATAAACCAAACCAATTCAATTCAATTCAATTCAAAACTGTACATATTCTTTATGTTAATATAGTTACCTTGTGGATGCAGTGATGACCGGTCAGACTGATGACCTCACACAGCTGTCGTCCACTCTGCCAGAAGAGTTCACATTCCTCCTGAAGCTGGTCAGCGAATGTCTCGTAGGCTGGACCACGAGCATGCTGGGAATACATCTTCATGGCTTGCAATAGCTTCAAAGGGTGAGTAAATTTTACAGAAAATGATTTCCTACAGGGCTGAGAAACAAAACATAAGTTGTCCTATTCACAATGGCAACATTATATATTTCTATTGATAATAACATCCTTCTGATAGAATACATGTCCAATAACATGCTATAATGCAGCATTTTTCAACTTTTTTAGTCATGCACCCTTTTAAGTAAGAAAACTTTTGCATCATCCCAATCTCAAATTCATCACAGAAGATTCATTTTGCATCACTCTGGCACTCGTCAAGTGCCATGTAAAGTGTAGACACATATGGGCACATTTCACAAGAGAGCAAAAAAAAAGACCCTTTTTGATATGCTACTTGAAAAATGTAATTTGTATGATATGATATAAAATTATGTATGTGGGCACTTTACTGCCAATAACATTAATACAAAAATCATGGATTCGGCTACCTCGATAACTAAATTTTTCTTGCGGCACCTTGGTTGAAAAGCGCTGGTATATTGTATTATAATACTATAAAAGGGTAACAGGGGTACAAACCACAACCCTTTTACACTGCCTACCTTGTTTCTATGTACTGTGCTGGTATAGTGTGAAGAAGCATTCTCCTGATAAGATCGGCTTGCCATGGGTAAAATCTTCTTGCATCTCCTATACCACAAATGTTGAAGAAAAAAATTCTGAACTGTTAATTATCTCAAAAATATTATCTCATTGAACTATGTATCATATCTGTAAAACCTGTATGTCTTATGTTTATATGTTATGCCCTGGGGGTGTTTTATAAAGCTGTTCGTAAAGTTATGCATGACTTTACAAACAACTTGTATATGAAGTGTCAGATAGGATGCCCAAAGTTTTTCCTGATGTTTTAACAAAGTGTGACTATATTCCCAATAACCTCTATTAAATTATGGCAAAAAAAGTATACTTTGCCATAAAAATGTTTGTTATCATATGAATGTTAATCTACATCTGCACAGGTCGACTTTAGTTGATGCAGTTAATAATGATTGAGCATCCCATTTGGCTTTTCTTATATAAGTCATTCCTAAAGTCATGCGTAACTTTACAAACAGCTTTATGAAACACCCCCCTGGTTTGGTAAATCCATTGTCCTGGGCCATGTATGCTATATTGTGATATATGTCTGTATGATTATGATCTATTTATACCACTGTCTAGTTTGATTATAAAATAAATGCATGACCTCAATAACACAGAGTTCATCTGACTAAATGAATCCGTCATTATTAATGAACACTCTAACTATCTCATGATCAGAAAGATGTCATTGAGCAAAATTTCAATTTCTTAGTGCAGATTCAACTTTTGAAGTTCACATATGAATTGAATAGTGTGGGATACTATGATCACGTATCTGTATGAGCTCGTTTGCAATGATCTTTCATATCATTTAAAATATGCAGGTAGATGTATATGAAAGTTTAAGAAATGTCAAAGTTTGTTTTTTCCGGATTTAACATGTATCCTTATCTCATGCACTTTATGATGTTTTCCATATGAATTACAAAATGTGTTATTCACCCATAGTTATTCAATTTGAATATGAATTTGAATAAAAATATAGAAGCACGGTAATGTAGTGCTGTGCAATGCTTGTTTTGATGGAAAATGATACTTTGGGGGTTTTGTCCACAATAATAATAATAATAATAGCTAGTTCTTATATAGCGCTTTCAGGACCGAAGGCCCTCTCAATAGGCATTGTAAAACACTTTTTATGCAATACAAAAGATAACAGGCTTCAAATTAAAATTTCAAAAGTTTGTAATTTATTAAGATGTCTTTCAGAGATATTTATATTTAATTCAATTTAATTCAATTCAATTAATTTCAATTTAATTCATTCAAGTCCATTAAAAAAAAGTACATGGAGAACACATTGTACATCGAGAACATAATTACATGTAGGATACACAGTATACATACACAGAACTTCAAACACAAAATTAAAAAGAGAAGTAAAGACAAGAGTAAAAAATGAACATGTTTACAGCAAAGAAATAGATAATGAACATGAAATGGGAAACAGCAAAAGAAACAAATGAAAGTTCTCTCGAGGCAGTCCCCAGCCTAATAAAATACCCAAGTTTGTACTGACATTATTCGAGATGACTTACATTTCTGAGAATCTAAGATCTTGGTCTAGAGCAGTCTGAAGGTAGGTCAGTGCAGAGGTCACCTTGGGGTCATCGGTCACATTCATTAATAGTTGATAAGATGAGGTAGCTACTTCTATCCAAGTCTTCATGCTTGGGTACTGTATGAAGAACAATCAAGGTAAGAGAAGAAAGTCAAATGTGTATTAGATAACAAAATAACCAGTGATAAATTTCCTCCATATAAAAAAATTGTACTGTCAAAATTCTGGTGCATTCACATATCCTACATTTTGACATTGTATTTGAAATATGTTGATACTGTCAAACCTGCTTTAATGACCACCTGTCTACAAGGACCACATTTGTTGTTTCCCTTGAAAGTGGTTTCTCATTGAAACATGTATTAAAGGAACCTGTCTACACATACCACCTGTCTACAAAGACCACTTTTTGTGTATCCCTTGGGCGGTCGCTGTAGACAGGTTTGACTGTACTGTGAAATACAGTTGTATAACCAAGAGAAAGGATGCACAAATATTAAACAAGTTTCCTCCTATTACAGTGGAAATGTCAATGTAGTAGTAGAAGACCTCATTGGATAACTTGTTTAGCACAAGTCTGGCTAATCTGCCATAAGAAAAATGGATCATACACAACACACTTTAAGTGCAAATGGGCTGACTGACTGGTTATGTATAAATCAAATCAAATCAAATTAAATCAATTTTTGTGTACCTCAAAATGTGCAATAGCAGCTCCTCTAAGGGTATCATCAAATCCTTTCTTGTTGAGTATGAGGTCAACGTGCTGGTGAACAAACGCTCTCAGAGAATCATCAGGCTTGTCCGTCAGAGATGGTATGGTTTCCATAGTGATAGGCATAACAAATACTTCCTTCTCTGATTGGTGATTATCTATAGAGATAAAGGTTCAAAGGTGGGAGAGAATGATGTAAGACAGTTCCATGTATATCATATGACTCTCATATATTATATAGCACACTTGTGGAAGGAAGGGGGAGATTTACTCCTCTTTGATTTTAGCTCCCTCTCTCTCTTTCATCTCTCTCATCTCTCTCATCTTTGTCTCTCTCACTCTGTCTTTCTCAATTTTCCTTACCCAATTTCTGCCTTAAAGGTACTATGTCCCATTTGCAGGCCAAAAAATGAAAAAGTTAAATTCCAACTGCATTTGAAAGATAATACTAATTTAGAACTTCCCTAAAAAAGGTAGGGCTTGAAAATGTCTTCAAGTGGAAAAATAATGACTATTAGTTGTCAAATCGACTTTAGGGCTACAGAGCCCAAAAGTAGTAGTCTTGATTTTCAGACCATTGTACCGAATGGTCATACGTTTTATGCTGCGCAAAGATTCAATCAGTTTAATCTTGGCCATCACAAGAAGTGGGTTATTGATGTAGACAAATGCTCAAGTACCCTTTACAACTCTTTTCATGTATGTTATTACCAAAGAAGAAAAAAGGCAAGTCAGTCACTCAATAGTGTCTGATAGTAGAGTCTAGCAAGTAAACAGGTTTCCTTGCATAATTTGAATATGAGGACACTGCTAACGTTTAAATTTCACAGATAGGAAATACATGAAATATTCATAATTCCTGCAAAGTTCTACAGAATTTGAGGTTGGCTGCAAAAGGGACATAGTACCTTTAAAGGCAGGGTACTTTACCAACATTACACCACTACAGTAAGGTATTCTCAATACACCCTTTCAGGGTTACAAGAGTGCCCATGCGCTGACATTGGCGCCATTTTAAAGACCATCAGTACTAGTTTGGCTAGGAGGGATTAGACCACACAGCGAGGTCACTGACAGGTGGCTTTCTCATCAACTCAGCTCTCAAATAACATAAGAAATAGAGGATCATGGGGGACCAACAGGCATCGATTGGGGTAGTTTTCTATATAGAGGGAGCAAGTAGCTACAAGTAGGACAGTGGGGCTTTAAATTATGAGTGAACAAAGTTGTTTACTCGTAATTTAAAATGGCGCCCATATCAATAATGATGTGAGCGCACAGCGCAGGCAGTGACGCAACAATGCATACGCGCATCTGAAAACATTGATGCCGCAACATTTACTCGCAAATTAAAATGGCTGCCTTAACCGTGAAAGGGTGTATTGCGCCATCTTTGGGTGAAGGCGTACATAGATTTTTACAGCTTCCTTTACCCAAGCATCACCATGAGCACTTTACTGCAGTATGATCTTAGTTTACTTTCTACCATTTGTGTGGGTGTACGTAGGTCCATACCTGATATGTCACTGCTACTGGTGAGTGAACATGAGTTGATTAGTTCATGTATGGTGTCCTTGAGTTGATCATGAGAATGCAAGATGTGGACAAAGGCTTGGTTTAAAGGGATACTGAACAGACAGTGAGACCTGGTGAGATTCAAAGAAAGATAGATACAACTAAACCTTCTTTGAAAGACTGCATGTATAGAAACACAACTTTTATATAAATATACCCCCCCCCCCCCTGAAACAGAATTTCTATATGAAACATACATATTTAGGGAGTCTGTATTTAACAAGCATCAAGATGATTTTTCATTGTCTAACGTCAGTGGTCTTTATAAACCAGTTTGTATTCCAAAATACATAGTTCTGTGATTTCGCTACTCCATATTTACATAAATAATACATATAGAATGTTTGATACAAAGCACTAATTAAACAAGAGCAGAAAGGACATTAATGACTGGAAAATGTGGCATACAACCTTTCTTTCAAATCATTTTCAATTCTTACATGTTGTTTGTGAGAATGTGAGTTTTTCTGAAGATCCTGTAGATCTGATCTTCTAGATGATGTTGAAGAGCTTTACGTTGGGATTTCTTCTGAAAATCAATACAGAAATCACATTTAAGAAAATATTCATTAAAAAAAACGACTCTTGTGGTAGTTGATCTGCATGTAGACTAGTCAAATACTAATCCAGCCAAGAACAGATGTTGTGTTTAACGTTCTGTCAAACTATTATCTCCACTGCATAAAATGCTGGTATTTTGAGCAACAATCAGTGCAAGTTTTTCTGATAATTCTTATGACTAAAACATGTATGTTTAAATCACAATAACATTCAAGATTAATTCAAATTACTCTAAATAAACAAACAAAATCAATATTCCATATCAGGTTTCCTAGCACATTCAAAATAATATCAAAATTAAACGATTCAATGTGATTGCAACCCACCTTGGTTTGTCCGCCCTGTCCGGTGTCCTTGACATCATTGAGGTCACTCTGTACAGGATGAGAACACAATATGATTACTGCACACAATATATCTTTGAACCTGAGGCAACCTTTGGATCGATAGCACTACCATGAACATTAAATCTACATCGGTAGTATTAGAAATTATACTTCTTGACGTTTGATCTGAGATTGATAAAACTAGAGTGTCCTTTAGCAAGACATAAATCTAAATTTTGCTACTCTCCACCAAGGTGTTAAATAGTTACTGGTAGGAAGAAATTCCTTGAATATTCCTTGGGGCATGTTGGAGCACTTTGAGCCTCCTCCCCCTCCTCCTCCTTTTTTTTTTTTTTGCAATGTTAATACGGGGAAGGGGGAGGTGGATTTGAACCCTCAGTGACCTGTAGGACTGACGATCATATATGCTGTTAGCCTTCTGGACTTTCTATCTTCCGGGCCATTGGTTAGTTAACCTGGGGAGTGTTTCACAAAGACTAAGATCAATTTTAATTCGGACTCAACTATGGCAGGGCTTTTATGCCACTGATTTCACTCACCATTGGTCTCTAAATTATGATCTATAGATAAATGTTTTTCATTCAATAATGAACTATCAAAAAATGTAAATTCTGTAAATTTGTGACCAGGGCTCAAATTAATTTTTTGTCCACGGGGGCTCTTCCAAAAAAAAAGCGCCCCCGTGAGCCTTCTCACGGGGGCTCTTTTAGTACTGACGGGGGCTTTTTTATTAATAAAAATTTCCATTGAATTGGGGGTACCCATGAAAATCCTAAATTATTTGCTTTTTAATCATTATCATGAATAGTCGGCATTATTTTCCTCTTACAACTTTACAAGTTATAACATGCAGCTAGCTAATGGTCAGATCTCTTCTCTTTGTACGAAATTTCTGGTCCAAGCCCGTATACATTTGCCTCCTTGCCAGCAGGTCTCCTTTTACTAATTTTAGCTTTCGGTTGATTTACTGGTCGAGGTTAATTATTTGCTGGTGTTTTGGAATTAGATTTCAGAGGATTCACGATTTTCACAACGAAAACCTTCTCCACGTTTCGGTCCTTGCGCGATCGCCTCTAGCTCCAGCAGATATGGGGCGGCATGCGTGCACACCAGTATACTACCGGCACAGCCAGTATAGTCGCTCTGCTGACGACCGCAGTGCACTGCGATCTTCCGTTGTTTGTTTGTATCCGTAATACCCATAGAGATGTGGAGATGGGAGATATAGCGCAATCTTGCAGCGAAAGGCGTTTATTCCTTCACAATGTGGCAGCCTCTAGACAACGAAGAATTTGAGCGAAAAATCCTGCACGCTATTAAAATGTTACTTCCATACTTCCATTTCATTGGTTTAAGGTTTGAAACTTGAAACTCAACATTGTGTGAAAGTTATAACAGAAAGGATCATCTTTATTTTATATTTGTTATTTATATTCCACGGGGGCGATTTTCAATTTTGCAATCGCCCCCGTGAGCACTCTGACGGAGGCGATTGTTTAGCTCACGGGGGCGAATCGCCCATTGCCCCCGTGTATTTTGAGCGCTGTTTGTGACCATGATTTTATACGTCCCTTGAGAAACAAATGCCAGGAATGGTTAGAGGATTAGTGCCATGAACGGCCTGCTATAGTTAAGTCCAACTTTAAATCGATCTTAGTCTTTGTAAAACACCCCCAGTAACCATAAATATACAAACATCATAAACTGCCTATCCTCACCTGCTGAGAGACAAAGAGAAGGCGTGGTGTGCACATACGACCTGACGTCTGCCACTGTCTGCTAACGGACAAGCCTTTCAGACTGCTACTCAATTGGGGTGACAGCTTCTCTCTGTCAAAGGAAAAAGGAAACAGTGGTATTACTGTCATATCTACTGAATTGAAAAGGTCAATAAACTCCATACTATAACTGTTTATTAGTTCTAACTGCTTCAGTGTTAGATGTGACGATCCGACTAGGGCTTTGTTTCATCACACATCTCTCTACCAGGCAATCTGTATTTGGTGTTCATTTAACAATGTTTAGAGCATGAATCAAGCAATCTAAATATGAAAATTTTCATGGTGCCACACATGTATATGTTGGTTTTGAAAATAAATAATTGCAGATTTATAACAGATATTTTCACAAAACACTTTTAAAGACAAATGTGTCCCCCGGCGAGGGTCATACATGTATATCCTACCTCTGATATCATGGGTACCAGGAAACATAGGGATTGGCCACCCATGCATAGTGCTTGCCATGTTACAAATAGTTTTTTCAGCTGGAATATACTATCTAAATATTATATGAATTCAAGAATGCTGGGTGGATCATGCATTGACCAAAAGTTATATCACTTTAATACAACAGTACAAGGACTGCTCAAGGGAGGCAAGAAATACAGTCTTTATTCGAGATTGGAACAGACTTGACCATCAGAAAGGGAATCATGGAAAGAAAACTAAACTATTTTGGGCACATTGTTAGGAGATCTGAAGGTGTTGAGAAGCACATACTGCAAGGAGCAGTCGAAGGAAAATGGGGTAGAGGTCGTCCACCAATATCTTGGACTGATGATATCAAAAAAGTGTCTGGACAAGGAAAGAAAGGTGCAACACAAATGGCAGGTGAAAGAGTTGCATGGAGTGCTCTCGTGAAGACCACAGCAGCGCTTTACAGCGCCACCTGAAGTTGATGATGATGATGAATCACAGGTGGTCTCCAAAGGGTTTCACAGTATATAGCATAATCTTGGTGATTGCAATTGGACCATTAGCTGAAGCTCTAGAGACTTTCTTTTTTTACAAAGGTTCAGGAATCTGTTTCACTGCCCTCAGTCTCAAGGGAAGGTAAGTCATGTGGTCTGTCAGTCAACGGCAATGTTCACAAGAGGATCACTTGGATCACAAACAACAAAATACACAAAGAGCAAAACATCACATATTTATATACATGTACACCTGTACTCACCTTGTAGTCTGCAATGCCCTGAAAAGCTTCACATAACTGGTGTCAAATACAGCTCTAGGGTGACAAACCTGTGTGTAAGAATATAAATGACATTTGATCACATAATCAGGTTAATGATCAGGTTCAAAACATAAATTTTGTTTATAAAACGGGTCGGTAATATGAATATAAAGTTTTAAAAATAAGCAACAAACCTCATCAAAACATCAACAGGCACACAGTCGAGGAGACCTGCATTCAAATTATGCTTTATTGAATGACATCATAATAAGTGTACAGTCAAACATTAAAATGTGCATCTCAATCCGCACATCAATGTTCTCGACTTTTGACACTACCTGCATTTATCGGGCATTTATTTTTTACGAGCTAGAGATAAGCATACAGGTATCTCAGCCTTAGGTTATGACATTTTGATCAGAAATTTTTTCGCCCGGTAGTTGTGAAAGAAATTTGACAAATTAGATTGCTTTGATTCTTGAACCTGTTTTCTATTACTCACCATCATAATGTGAGATATTGTAAAGAGGTAGAGTAGGAGTCTAGCATGTTGACCCTCATGACTCTTCCAGTATGCATGGCTATCCTGAATAAACAATAACATCAAAGCAAGATTATACATGTACGTTGGAAACATTTTTACCACCATCTTATAATAATAATAATAATAAATTGTTTCTTTTATAGCACTATATTCAATTTAGAACTTATCAAAGCGCTTTACAAAACAAATAAATCAATGAATTGAATCTCAACAAAAAATATGATAGAAAATGTAATGCATGAAATTACAATATAAATAGGTGTGTTTTAAGATGCTTCTTAAATAATTCAACTGACATACTACAGCGTAATTCACAAGGTAACCTTTTCCATGTAACCGGACCACTGATGAATGAAGTTTGTTAATTCTCAAACATAAAGGACACATTCTGATTACAAGGTATAATGATAAATGATAGTTCTTCATTCCTTTCCTTCTATCTGCTTTGCTTTTGTAAGTGACATTTTCATTTAAATAAGACATTTGTTTGTAATTTGGTAACAAAAAACTATGAATGTAAAAAGTGATTAATGGTATGAATTTGACCAAAAAACACTAAATTAAATCATCACACTACAGTGTATCTTGACTTACAGCTGTTGAAATATGTTGAGGAAGAAGTCGACATAGTTGAGCTAGCTGAGCTCCATCGTAGATTGATACAAGCTGTAGGTATAGTGTATGCCTGGATTTGTCATAGTATGGTTCAATGTAACACTGAAAATAAAGAAGTAAAATTCAATATGAAGTTAAAGAGTGTTGCAGGGATTTCCAAAGTGAAAATCTCAAAACTTGTAAAAGGACTTAAATGTTGTTTTTAAAAAAAATCATAATTGAAAATCTTTCCTAAATTATTTATTTATTTATTTATTTCATTTCCAGGCAAGATGATAACATACAAAATATCACAAGGTTAACAAATGATAGAACATACTGTAAACATAATGATATTTAGCACCAGCCAATGCCTGAGGATCACCTAAAAGAATTAAAAAAATTCTGTCGAGAGGCTCTCCACATTGGCTGGTGCATACATAAAACAAAATATAAAGATAAGGTCAACATAATTTATAAATGAATGTGTAACTAAAACTAACGGTAATATACATGTAGATCAAATACTATTAGGATTATTTTAAAGAAGGATTCGAAAAAGAGCTGTTCAAACTATGCATGTATGATAAATGCAGAAAATTGTCTGTTTATACAGTCATGTGGATACGGTAATATTGGAAATTAGCAAAACTGTATAACATTATGAATTTGAGTTGATTTGATTTGAAGTTATCCAAATTATGGAAAATTATTATTGATGATTGAAAGTTATCCAAATTGGGAGACATTATTATCGATTTATAGACAAATTTAAAATACATAGTAATCAAAGGTAGAAGAATGTTATAGAACACATTGATAGAGGAAGTACATCAAATAAGAACTTAATAATAACAACATATGCATTAAGAAATTAATAAAACATATCAAAATGCAGAAAACTGTCTGTTTATACAGTCATAGTGAGAAGGATGTGATAGGACACATTGATAGAGAAAGTACATTAAATAAGAACATAATAATAACAACATACGCATTAAGAAATCAATAATACATATCAAAATGCAGAAACTATTATGGTGGCAAAATGAAAGTATTCATTACTAGCAAATATACAGTTAATTTTCATGTTCAAATTTTGAAATATGTAATGTCTGATACTCTTGTTAAAGGGACTGGATCGGCAGTTTCCATGTGCAGAAGGCCATAATTCGCTGACACCAGACTTGGTGGAAATAACATTAATCAGAGTACAAATCTGCACACAGCAAACCTGTTGGCCAGTCAAGAATAACCCCCTAATCGCTCGGAGAGCTTCGGCTGAGGGAAAAGCGAAGCATTACATAAGGTCTAATGGTCATAAAACTGAAGGCTAGCCCTGGTGATTGACAACACCTGTTATTGGGTAAACACCAGAACGGTGTCGAATTCCCCATGGAGCTGACTTCTACGTGACTTTAAACACAAGTGTAGATGTTTTCTGGTACAGTGTTCTAACTAAGATTTCTTCCCCCTCTTCTTCTTAATTAAGGAGGTTGTGACTCGTCAATACTCCAAATTATAAAAAATTACAAGTACACACACATTATATAACCATACATGTATATATATATATATATATATATATATATATATTATACTTGTAGCTCAAATTAATGATTTTGTTGATGAATACATGAAGCAATTTTTTTCTTCGATTTTTTGAATGCTTCACGGAAGAAACCTGGCACATTCTTTTCTTTTCATGAAAAAAAAAACTCTGTCAAATCTTAAAAGCTGGCTAATTGCCTAATAATGAAGAAGCACGACTTCATTACACTGCAGTTCCTATATGATTGACCATAGCCATTATCTTACATAGTCTTTGATGTTGCATTGCGTTATAAGGATGAAGGTAATGGGCCATTCTTCCATGCAATGTATCCTGTACAACATATGTCTTTTTGAACATCTTTCATCCAAAAATAAAGAATCTCTAGGTGTGACAATTGAACAATGGTGCTCTCTGGTAACCCTACCATTTGTCATCTCAAGAGATGTTTTGTTCATGGATGAAATATGTTGTATAGGTCACATTGCACAGAATCACCCTAAGACAGAGATTAATTCACTCACACTTCTTACAACCTGTTCCTCTGACTTCACATGTTCAAACACAGTATACTTCTGTAAGGAGAAAAGTAAGATTTATTTTACAAGTTTTTCTTTGAAATAGATTTTAACTCTTCATCCTACTTTCTTCAATTCTTTTCATTTTTCTCCCCTTCGTCCCTTCCTCCTCCTCTTCATCTTCTTCTTAGAATTTGATTTTTCTTTTCTTCTACAGTATTTGGGTTTAATTCCAAAAGGAGCTAAATCCATTTTTGTAACTTCAGAGAAAAAAAGAATTGTTTACCAAATTTTGCACAGGCATCTATGGAAAAATTCAGGTTGACAATTTTGTTGGAAGACAGGTACTACTAGAGTGAACAATTTTCTGATATCAATAACTACATTTTCATCAAAAGTGGATTTAGCTCCTTTTGGAATTAAGCTCTTCATATTTTCTTCTTCTCTTTTCTAGTATCGTTATAAAGAAATTCTCACCTCAAAGATGTGTTTGTCGAGAAGATTGTTAAGGATGAGTCCATTGCATTGAGAACCAGATGACCCTTTACCGAAGACACCTATCACACACACGTTCTCAGAACTTCCATTTAAGCTCCTACATTGGGATAGAATGCACAATTTTATTTGTAAATTGTAGGGTCCTACACCCTTTTTTTTAAAGCAAATTCTTGTTTAGTTAGGCACATTCATGGGGCACTAGAGGGTGCTTGTTAGACTAGAGTAAAAGAGCCCGTTTTCGGCCACTTAAGACAAAATCCTATTTTAGGATCCTGTACTTCCTATTTATTATCATTTTTTGTTCAAATCATGAAGCAAATATTATTATTATTTAAACAAAACAAGAATCCCAGAAAAAAAGTCACGAATTGCCATGACAATATTCATTTCAATTTTCACTGTTTCGGAGTCAGTTTTCGGCATAGCGTACCAGTTTTCGGCCGCATGTACAAAGTCAATAGGAAGCACGCGCATGCGCCGTGCGTTTCCGCGCTGATCTATAGCACTAGCGGGCGGAGCAGATATCCCACGCCGGAGCTCCCCGGAGCTCGCCAGGCCGAAAACTAGTACTGTGGTGATCGGATATTGGAATCTGAATTAGACAGAGATATCGTGTGTGCGTTGCGGTGTGCGGCTGCATTGATTTAATACATGCGATGAGATACTTTTGAGCTTGCGACTAGCACAAAATCGGGCTCTAAATCTGAAAAATACTTGAAATAAAGCTCATTTTATGGTACCCATATTTCTTACAGACACGCGTAAGATACTTGATTTTTCAGATTCGGGTAGCAGGACCGCCGATTACATCGCTAAAATGTGATATTTTAGGATATATTTTCATTGCAAATGTGGTTCTTCAGTGACACTGGCATGGTATGGTATGTGTGGGATATGTGTTATGCTATTATGCGATGTATTTTAGAGTGATTTTACCTTGCATCCAACCAATCGGCCGAAAACTGGAGCTGGCCGATTACCGGCTCCTTTACTCTATTCAACAACAACAAAACAAACCTAAATTTTAATAGAGTAAAGGAGCCGGTAATCGGCCAGCTCCAGTTTTCGGCCGATTGGTTGGATGCAAGGTAAAATCACTCTAAAATACATCGCATAATAGCATAACACATATCCCACTCATACCATACCATGCCAGTGTCACTGAAGAACCATTTGCAATGAAAAATATATCCTAAAATATCACATTTTAGCGATGTAATCGGCAGTCCCGCTACCCGAATCTGAAAAATCGAGTATCTTACCTGTGTATGTAAGAAATATGGGTACCATAAAATCAGCTTTATTTCAAGTATTTTTCAGATTTAGAGCCCGATTTTGTGTTAGTCGCAAGCTCAAAAGTATCTCATCGCATGTATTAAATCAATGCAGCCGGACCCTGCCACGCACACACGATATGTCTGTCTAATTCAGATTCCAATTTCCGATCACCGCTGTGCCTGTCTTCGGCCAGGCGAGCACCAGGGAGCTCCGGCGTGGGATACCTGCTCCGCCCGCTTGTGCTGTACATCAGCACGGAAACGCACGGCGCGCGCGAGCGCTTCCTATTGACTTTGTACATGCGGCCGTAAACTGAAACGCTCGGCCGATAACTGGCTCCAAAACAGTGAAAATTGAAATGAATATTGTCATGGCAATTCGTAATTTTTTTCTGGGATTCTTTTTTTGTTTAAATAATAATAATATTTGCTTCATGATTTGAACAAAAAATGATAATAAATAGGAAGTAAAGGGTCCTAAAAATAGCATTTTGTCAAGTGGCCGAAAACGGGCTCCTTTACTCTAGATTTGTTTTCTTACACTTGTGACAAATCAATGAGCGACAGTTGGGGGACATAATCAATGAAATAATTTGTAATTTTGGAAATGTTCACTTTCTAAAAAAAACAATTTTCACCTCCACAGTCAATGTCAGTCCACAACACATTGCAATTTGCAGCAATGAAAAATCTGAAAAACACAACATAAAAAACAGTAGACGGGACTGAAGCACGCTGAGGCACGGTCCCTGCACTATGTCACTAGACCTACTAATACTAGGCCTAGTGTAAATATGCACACTCTTGTGTTTTCATTCATCTTTAACCATCAACAACTTTAATACAACAGGTTTAATAAAACTACGAACCTTAGTCTATTCAAAAATTGCAAACCATCCTTTTCCATTTTTGTTCTCTCTTCTTCGTCTTCAGGACGAAAATTTCGACTACAAATTTTACTTTATTGGCTCTATGGTGTCTTCGAAAAGACTTTTTACAAGGGGAAATATAACGGGCTATTGGTATGAGAAGTCAGAGTCAAGACCATGTTTGTTTCCTTGTTTCGAGGCCAGTTTAAAGGGAACTGACATGTATGGTGTTGGGGGGGGTACCGACCGGCCTTTCACCCCTCTTGAAACCTAGATGTAATACCATGATAAGTACACTATATACATATTCTTCTCTTTTTCACTTTGCAGCTTTGCCTATTTTTCCATTGAAGTGCATTTAAAAATGTGTGGCTCTCCGAGGAAGGGAGCCGTCGTTTTTTTCTCTACAATTTCTTAATTGATGACAAGTCAGAAAGATCTGAGTAGTTTGTTGTAACGTAGTATTCGAAATGTTCGATTATCCCTGATGCCAGCTATATTTACAACAGAATTGAATAGCCAAGCTTCCTAATTATACGGACACTATGTAGATACCATGCATAATGAAATAAAATACACCATTTTTATTTTCATGATACGATGGCAGGGTGCTATGCAGCGGTCATTGACAACTTTATCAATGAATGGTAAAATAAAAACGCACTTTTTTTTAAAAGAAACTGAAAGAAAGGTTTTACGGGCAATCTTAACAACATCGGATGATGAAAATAATAATCATCTATTATGTCTCGAAAGCGTAGAATCAGTAGATTCTGCATTTTTTGAGGTAGTCATTGACACCAGAAAGTGTTAACAAATAGAAGCAATATAGCAGTGAGACAGAGTGGTTTTGCGAACGGTGATCACTTCAGGCGGGGGGGGGGGGGGTCTTTTGTGGGGTTTAAAATAGGTAAAATTAACGTTACCATCTTTTTTGTATCTGTTTTTGCCAGGGGGCCGGGCCCCAGGCGAAAACAGGTATTCAAAAGAAATTATTTTGTTATATAGGCGACTCCCGTGCTAGTGAAAATGAACAAAATGAAGTGGACGAGAAAATGAGGCGCTGCGGAGCCAGGGCCAGAAATTTTGATCTAATCTTCATCTACCACCATGGGCGTCAATCCAAATCAGACCGTGGGGGGGGGGACACAAGTTCAGACAGGGCGGCGCCAGGTTATTTTGTAAGGGGGCGAATGGGCGCGCCACGCAGGGGGGTGTCTGAGGGGATGTGCCCCCTCAGAAGTTAAATACTTTTTTTTAAGTTGATGCATGACTCAATTTGGTGCATTCTTTTTGCCAAATTAGAAAAAAAAACAGTAGAACGCAGGGGGTGTCTGAGGGGAATGTGCCCCCCTGAGAAGTTGAAGTTTTTTTTTAAATTGATGGATAGATGGCTCGATTTTGGGCTTAATTTTTGCCAAATTAAAAAGAAAACAAGTTCTACTAACAGGTACAAGAACGCAACAGGTGGGGGGGGGGGGTAGATAGATGAATTTATCGTTTCCATTGAACAATCAGCCATAAAGTTTGGAAGATACAAGGGATTAATTCGATTTTTTTTTTCAATTGGTGAAAGGATTTTCATCCTAAACCAACGTTTGAACTTCCGGTAATGTGAATGTAATATTAATGACGCTTCTAGTTTTATTAATAAAATCTGATCGCCTGATTTGGCTTGATTTTTCTCAACACAGAGAGAAAGAGAGGAAGAAAGAAAAAAAGAAGAAGATTTTAACCCCGAATCATAGGGGGGGGGGGACATTTCGCCACCTGAAAATTCGTGTCCCCCCGTCCCCCCCCCCCCCCCCCCCAGGATTGACGCCCATGTCTACCACTTTATTCCACTTCCACTTTATTTTGTTCATTTTCACTAGCACGGGAGTCGCCTATATAACAAAATAATTTCTCAATTAATTGTCAATTTCCATCAATAGCAAGTCTACCAGGATGGTAGGGGCCGATTAAAGCCACCCATTTTTTTTTGGGGGGGGTGGGGGAAAAAGCACCTCCACCCCCCCCCCCCCCAAAAAAAAAAAAAAAAAAAAAAAAAAAAAAACGTCCACAAAAACATCATTTATTCCTTCTAATGCTCTTCAACCCCATAATTTTTCAAATGCAACTTGGACCTATCATAGCGTCAGCTTGACATTGCCCAAAACTCCCCTATCAAATAAATGGATTGATATTAAATAAATAGATGAATAAATAGATAAGTAAATAAAGAAATAAATGTATTAAAGTAAATTAAGATGTTTAAGTTGTGGTCTGTTGACAGGCACGGATCCAGGATTTTCCAATAGGGGGGGGGGGGGGCGGAAATTCGAAATTCGCGCAGACCGTTATTTAAACTTACCAATACTGACAAGGTCATATTAGAAGTACTGTACTTTAATAGTGTACTGGTACCTACAAACGGGCACAATTATTTTGGAAAGGGGACATGCTCACGTCACATCTCTTGTCCGATATCAACATTCCCCGTTTTCAAGTTATGCTCGCGCGCAATTTTGTTTGACATTTCCTTCAGTGGGGGCTGAAGCCTCTTGCCCCAATATCTATTTCCTGGTTTAATAATTTGGCGAGTGAGCGAAGCGAGTGAGCGGAAATTTGAGCTTATGTATGTTGTGAAAAGTGTTAATTGTCACCAAAATATACGAGATAAGATATAACAAATGCATATTGGTAATTTTTAAATTTTCGGGGAAAGAGAGGCTGCAACACCATCCCGCATTAACTGCAGGTGTTTTGAAATCAAATCAGACTCCCCAAAAAAGTATTAACCAAAACGCACGAATCCAGTTTCAAAAATCCAAAAAAAATGTCAGCTTCAGAGGGGGGCACATCACCCCTCAGACTCCCTCTAAAAGTATTAACAGAATCGCACGAATCTAGGTAAAAAAAAAAAAAAAAAATCAGCTTCAGAGCTAGAGAGGAACCCCCCCCCCACACACACACACACACACACACACACACAGACACCCCCTGTGCGCGCAAGCGTGAAATTAACGCTGGCGCTTATGCGTAAGCAGGGGCGGCGGAGCTATTTCCAAAGTGGAAAGCACCAACAAAAAAGGGCACCTACAAAGCGAAATCTCAAAGCGAAAATATACATTTTTTTAGACATTGGTATATACCCTTTCATTGTGATTCCATTATCAGGGACGATTTCAATATTTGTTTTTCTTTATATATCATACAAGTTATTGCTTAAGCATCACACTTTCGGCTGAGTGTGATTGTCTGAATATTCATTTGCGAGCGAGCAAAACGAGCGAAAAAAAATGTAAGATCTGTGAGGTCGCAGAGTGAAAAATTACATCTTATAAAGAGGAAAAACCCAATCATGATGGGGTTATAAGCATCGGTGCCAGGTAAAAATGTCAGAGGAAAAAATGTCAGAGGTAAAAATGTCAGAGGTAAAAATGTCAGAGGAAAAAATGTCAGAGTTAAAAATGTCAGAGGTAAAAATGTCACAGGTAAAAATGTCAGAGGAAAAAATGTCAGAGGTAAAATTGTCAGAGGTAAACATGTCAGAGGTAAAAATGTCAGAGGTAAAAATGTCGGAGGTAAAAATGTCAGAGGTAAAAATGTCAGAGGAAAAAATGTCAGAGGTAAAAATGTCAAAGGTAAAAATGTCAGAGGTAAAAATGTCAGAGGTAAAAATGTCAGAGGTAAAAATGTCAGAGGTAAAAATGTCAGAGGAAAAAATGTCAGTCGTAAAAATGTCAGAGGTACAAGCAAAAAAAATGAGTACCGTCATAATATCTCAACACTTTTATCACACAGAATGTCGAGACGTACTGCGACTGCATGGGCTAGTCTATTATATTCCTTTCTTCCATAATGTAAATTTTATAAATGGCTGTGTGTTGTATTTCGTACATGTCCTGAGGATAATACAATGTGGAAAATAGATTTTGAAATGTATTTTGTTGTGATCAGGCTTGCATATAATGAATGTCTAACATTTTGTGATATTTTGAATCGGTTGATGTGTTAATGTTTGTGAAACGGACCGATTTGGCCAGTGGCAGCCTGCAACATAGCCCGTGTAACGTTCCAGAGACGAACAAAGTCCAAACGAAGAAATGAAAATTCTTGACAAAAGTCAAGTGTTAAGTGAGTAGTGCATTTAGTACAAAATAGTTACATAATCTCGGGGAATCACGAAAAGTTACATATAAGGGCTGGGCGCCCCGAACTCTGCTAAATCTTTAGCACCTCATGGCGGCAAAGGAAGTGGAGTAAGAATAAGAAAATCAAGAAGTCACTCCGAAAAGTAAAAACTCGCTCCGAAAACTAAAAACCCGCTCCAAAAAGTAAAAGACCGTCTCGATTCAGAAGCTCATCCCCATTTTAAACTCCGACCGACAATTATAAATAACGATGTAATTTAAACCGAACCTCTGCAAAGCGCGCGCTTCTCTAAAATGTGATGGTGCGGTTGGCATTTAAAGATAAAGTTGAGTTCTGGTCTTGCGATTGCATTGTGAAAGAAACGGTGTGGAAGCAATCAGAAAAGGTTGATCATCTAGCATAAACATGTAAGTATTGGTGTGTAGTGTAAGGTTTTGGAGTCATTAAAATGATAAAATCTTTGGTCCAGTCTTGGTAAAGTAACAAGCACTGTACACAGACAGATATGGGACTACACAAACATATGGCATACAAATCGGGCCTCATTTTAAAGCTGTTACTTGTCATATCTGGGATATGAAGTCATTTGAAATGGATTTTCAGGGAATAACTTTTTTCTTTGATGTTCTTCCACACTTGCATAATAAGAATGATAACAAACGCTCACACATTATTGTTCACCTTTCCCCAGAACTCAACCTTCTCTTTAATTGATGTAACATGGGCGGCTTTCTGCTTTGTATCGGAGTAACAAAGCTGCTTATTGATTTTTTCCCCAGACTATTTTATAGTAATCGACAATATTTTATTGCAACGTGCGCACTTCGGGAATGTGATGGTGCGGTTAGCGCTGATAACATGGCTTTCTGCTTTGTTTCAGCATGGACCCTACTTTCAGAGTATCAAAATACAAGCCAAATATCAAGCCAAACAAGAAAGTGGAATTGTCGGAAATAT